CAGCAGTTGCATCCGTTCAGTGATGACGCAGATGAAATGAATCCGTAGGTTGGATTCAGAGGGAAGCAACGGCTCTCCCTCTTTACAAAGGTGTTTGACTGAAGGAAGAAAAACCAACTGCACTGTAGCCCTTCACGCTTGTACTCAAAGATGTACAGCAGAACTGCCTGGAAGAAGAAGGAAAGCCCTCGACTTTCCGAGATGCTTCTGAAAAGCTCTAGGAGAGAGAGGAACAACACATTCAGCACCAGAAACCGGGTGCTGGAATTCAGTCGTCTATATCAGCTCATCAGCAAGCAACACGTACACTGCTGAATTCAATGGACCCTCTAAGCTAGAAGAAAAAGGAACGCCAAGTTTTGGGGGTTTGGGTTGCACATTCATTTTTCCTCTATTTCAGGATGGAAGTGAAGACACAGGAATGTCCACGCTTAAACTAACTGCTGAAATAAGTTACAGTGCTCCAAACTATCTGAACGTTACTGTTAGTGCAGCTCAAGTGATCGTCTCACCTTTGTGACCTGCAGGTCTCCAATGTTCAGCTTGAGAGCCCCGATGGCTGTTTTACACAAAATGACCGCTTCATCGCTGCTTTTTACCTGCACTCAAACAAAATCACACAATTTGGAGACCTCGTTGTTCTAGTTAAGCAGACTTTCAAAATCCAGATTGTATTAGTTTAGTTATCTTTCGCTTATTAACACATCCCTGCGTTAAATTCCGGGATCGGTCACTGAGGAAAGCAGTACTTTCCAGCACACATTCCAATATATACATACTCGCCTCTTCACTTATACCAAACACACTCATACACAAAACAAAGTCTGTACAGGGACTACCCAAGGAAAGAGCAGTCTCACAAATACCTTTTCCCGGGTCTTTTCCAGAAAAGAAAGGGCCACGGTGGGATCTAAAGCAGAGCAAAAGAGAAGGCATATTAGGAATTCCAACAGAACTGAATCTCAACCTAGAAATAAATTCCATGAAGCACTGAAACTGGCACTTTTCAATACCCCAGAGTGCCACTAGTTTTAGTTGAAGACCAAGGACTTAGCTATTACTATTAACTACCAAAGTTTCACGACCATCAGTTCCTAGAAAACACCATCAGCCACAGGCAGACAATGTCACTTACCTGTCATTTGCCTAACAACATGAAGAATGATCTCTACCAGGGACAAGGGGTTCACCCTAGAACAAAAACAAACCGCATTGCCACAACAGTCTCAGCTGTAGGTAACAGGAGGTCACCCCCAACTTTGGGGACAAATGGACTCACCTGTGTTCAAACTCACTGATGAAGTTCTCATAAAGCTGTAAGCAAAAGCATGTAGATATTCAGAGCAAGAAGGTACTTTCAGTGACAACATTTACATTTTATTTCAGCTCACTGCCTGAACAAAGCAGTTGGCATCCAACTTGTCCTCTGCATTTGGTACACCTACAGGCTTTCCCAATTGCCTTTTTTGTTTGTTTTTAAGAAAACAGCTCATTTTACAGGTTGCAGGCTGTACAATATCCTCCCAGCTGTTCAAAACAACTGCAGAAACCCACACGCTACCAGGTGCTACAACATAGTGCCTTCTGGCTCCAGCGTGCCCCAGTGCATGTCTTCACTCCTCAATGTGCATCTAGCTCAAGCCTCAAATTTCTAATCTCCCTTTATGGGCATCCTTTAAAAAAAAAAAAAAAAAAAAAAAAAAGGACTATCTAGGAACTCAAGGCTTGTTATCACGGAAGCAATTAGGGAAACTGAATTTGAATCTAAGCCACAAAGGAGAGGAAAACACGCAGCTAGCAGTAACCTGCGAGCAGAAAATGAGTTCACCTGGCCTACCAGTTCAAAACGAAAACAAAACAAGTCAGGAGCTGCTTATTTCCCCTCTCTACAAAAACACCACCGCCCCACATTGCTATGGGGAGGGGGAGGTGAACCGCCCTGGCGCAAGCGAGCGCCTCACCTTGATGAGTCCATCCCCCTGGGCGAAGCAGGGGTCCTGCACGAAGTCCAGGACTTGCAACGTCAGCTGGTGCCAGAGCCTCAAATAATAACAACAGCAGCAGCGAGAGTTAGCCCGAGCTTCCACACGCCAGCGCTCGTGCTCACACTCCCTCCCGCGCCACACACGGGGAACAGGCCCGTTTTGAAGCAGCTCGCCTCTCTGCAGCTGCTGTGACCCTCGGCGAAGCAGGGGTCCTGCACGAAGTCCAGGACTTGCAACGTCAGCTGGTGCCAGAGCCTCAAATAATAACAACAGCAGCAGCGAGAGTTAGCCCGAGCTTCCACACGCCAGCGCTCGTGCTCACACTCCCTCCCGCGCCACACACGGGGAACAGGCCCGTTTTGAAGCAGCTCGCCTCTCTGCAGCTGCTGTGACCCTCGAGGGGCGGTTTTTTTAAGGGGGAAACCGCGGGAACCCCCGGGCCCGTTACAACCTCCCACGGGGACGCGCAGCGGAGGGCCCCTTC